AGCACTGCATGGGTCATCAGCCGAAGGATAAGTCATACTCGTAAAACGGCTATTACCTGTTGCAGTCTAATGCAATTAAAATGAGTCGGAACTGTTTTTTTTTTTGTTTAGAAATTTAATTAGATGTATCAAGGAACATAAGAAGAAATAATATAAAAAGGAATATGATCGTGTTAATAATAGTGATAGGAATAATTACTGTATACCACAAGATAAAAGAGCTTACAAAATATACTTAAAATGTGATGTTTTAAATGTGTGGTTCACCACATTCAATTTAAAGATCTCAGGTGTTTAGAATTTTTACAGGACTGCAGTTGTACTACTATTCCAGTATTTGAACTGGGAGAAAAATATAAAAAATTAAAGAAAACCTTCTTTAATACAAAATAAGGCCCGATGCTACAGTATACAGTATACCGACTGGCATTAAACATGCAGGAAAGGCTATTGGATGCTGACATATATTTCTTTTGGCTTTGCTTTATACCTTCTATTAAGATACAAGTACTACAGGAATGGACTGTTAATTTTCTGAACCTTTATTAACTATTAGAAATGACAACTTAATGGCCACCTTGCAGTGACAGACTCACACACTCCCCTCTTATTACTCTTAACTTCACACACGTCACGGCCCATTCATATCTTAGGTGGACTTTGCTAACATTTCGCTCGGCTACAGAGTCAATACTCATTTGTTGAGTTTGTAACACCTCTCAATATATCTTCTGCTGCACCTCTCACCAAGACGAGCAGAATCTGTATCATCAGCAGAAGCTGCCCTTTTTAATATAGTGCTGATTAACGTTTTCCTCAGGTTCTGTCAGCAAATCCCTGCCTTCATCTCTTTCCATTCATGTTGCTCCTAAATTGTATCTTCCTGTCTTGCCCGGGCTCTCCCTGTTGTTATATTATCATCACAGACCCTTGATTGGTCTTACCCTTGATTTTTTTTGTGCAGCTTGTGGTTTTAAATAATACTTACACTTGTTAGTGTCCAGCGTTAAAATCCACAAGTGAGGACAAGGAGCATACAGTACATAGGTCTTAGACTTTCCTCTTGAGGCATTCCCTCCATTCTTTTATGGCTTTTATAGTTAATACACATGGTTTTTATTTGGCGACGTTAATTGTTTCTGAAAACCCATAACTGGAAAATTCCATCGATATTAGAATACACAAAGGTCTAGTTAGAAACTTAACCCTTTGTCTCGCAATATGAGAAGAGCCATCTCAGAAAATACTAGAAAATCAAAAAGCTTTCTTCCATAGGTAAGACGTGCCTTTCTGGTACTGAGGCCAAGCTGCAGTAGATGACTTTGTAAAAACAGTTCCTATTATTACTAGATGTTTCCAATAAAGATGTTTCTGTTTTTTGTGATCTTGTGTTCGTTGATGAGAGCCGTTGGCCTCAAATTGTTTTTATGGCTTCCGCCAATAAGGTTTTAGTAGTGTTTTTTTCTGCTAAATGTTAGATATTTACAGATAAACTGTCACGTGAGGGAACAATAATATAGACAGAATACTTACGACAACAGCAATACTGCATTGTATTTCTTCACGAAAATTTGTTGGCTATTCCACACTTATGTCTGATGTGTCCCTCCAAGGCCGGTGAGCCCTGGGTCCGATTCCTGGGGTTCTACCCGTGTGGAGTTTGTTGGTTCTCTTCGTGCTCGTGTGAGTTTCCTCCAAGTGCTCCAGTTGCCCCTCACAGTCCAGAGTCATACTGGTAGGTTAATTGGCTTCCAGGAAAAACGGCACCAGGTGTCAGTGTGTGTTTGGGTCGGTGTGCCCAGTGATGGACTGGCATCCCATCCAGAGTGTTCCCTGGGTGAGGCTCCAGCTCCCCTGTGACCCTGCACTGAATGAAGCAGTTAGAAAATGGATGGATGGCTTGCCTTGGATTTCAGTTCACACAGAGGAAAATACCACCGTCCTTTCATACTGGTACAGTATATCTACATTTCCATTTTGACTGGTGTATACAGTTAGAGTCTGCTTATTTACTTTGTTAGAAGGCCTATACAAGGCTACAGAAGGTTTTTTGGAAAGGGATGAACATTTTTTAAACTGTCCTTGTGCAACATTTACGTCATCCTTGTGACCTCGGTATAAATCGGTTATCGCCATCAAAGGTAACTAAATTTATCTCACGCCAAGACAATCAGCATTGTTGTCTCATAAGGAATTAGTTCAGATAATCTGATTAGTGAGTCTAAGAATTTGTCTTGGCTTCCGACATCTTTGTATCAGTTGGGCCAAGCCTGTCTGAATGCAATAAAACAGCACATGGGAAATGCGCAACAAATGTACTTTACAGTATATCGCGAAGACACAAATTATCCTATTATGAGCAAAAAACGAAAACACAGCACTTTCTTTTTAATCCAGCAAATATTATCTTTCAATTTGCTTGGTAAAAGGATCAACCCTAACATCAAAAGCGAGAGTGCCCTCGATTGACCCGGTTTATTTAATTTGTTAAATAAAATTGGATGATTTTGTATCAGAATATATATTTCTGCACAGCGCGTACGTACACATTAAATACGTACAGTACTGTCGGTACACATGCAAATCAATAAGAATGTACTTTAAAGGAATACAGTGCTTTTCTGTGAGAGTAATACTATTCGATTGTTAAGATTACAAAGAACCTTTAGGGAAATCTGAAGTAAAATATTTTAACCGGAAAGTTTACAAGATGATGAAAAAAACATGAAATACATGACACGCTATTCTTTCTAACATTAACCATTCTTTCCGATTGGCATTGGGTATCTGGTTTTGGGATTAACCCATTAATGGTTTGTTAAGACATCATGGGTGACGGTTCCGAAATCAGGTTTTGGCGGTCTCTCCTCTCAATGTTGATGTTCCCGCCTCAATGAACACCATAAAACACCACCATGAAGGTGTTTTATGAAAAGGCTGTGAGCTCAACATCAGCTGAATAGTAAACGCTAATGGTAGTAAATTGTTTTTGACATATTGTGCACACAGGTAAAGAGTTCTTGGGAAACTCGGGAAGATCTAATAACAAGGTACCTGTATGAGACTTTTAAAACAGTGAATGGTCGATATTTACCGAAAAGTAATTCAATAAAAGCACAGTTTAAAGCTTGTCCACGAGGTGGCGGTATAACACAATTTTCCAATGTGCGAGTTTGTTGCGAATATAATGAAGTATATTATTACACGCATAGTTGTGATTAGAATTTTTTTTAAAGTAAAAATCACATAAGAAGGGTTACTAATGAAAGGCGACCATGTGGGATGTTAACACTTTATCGATTGCAGTCTCCAACAGCCATCCCTTCCTTGAAAGTTTCTGCCTGGCCAGGAATGTACAAATCATTTCAGAACATATGCTGCATTTTCAAAGCATTAAAAACAGAAGACGATAATATCACATTCTGTACGTTCAAAACCAAGCTCTAATAATATAATTCTCTCGAAATCAACGCCAAGGCGACTATGTTAACAGTGCTCCTGATATAAAAAATAGCTTAGATATTTAAACACCCTTAAAATATGCTTGAAAACAATATCTTAACACATTTACGATTTAGGAATGAGACAGGCAGCTCCGGTTGTCAGGGAAAGGAATCTGGAGGTTTTACTTAAGCAGACGACAAATGTTACAAATTAGAAATTGACCTAACACGCTGCAGTCCCAGAGGAGTGAAAATGCCAATTTCTAATTTAAGATATTACTGACCTGTTAGGCAGCAGATATTTTTCAGTGTGTTTAACATTTGAGAAGTGCTAATCATTGCTCGTATTTATGCAACACTATGGGAAGAAGCCCACTTATACCTGGGTGGCACGAGGCAGCTGTTCTGTGCCAGCTGTGCATCAGATCAAGGGGGGAAGGGAGAGATCACTCCCCCCCTGGAATTAAAGAGGGTGTTTCTGGGGGCCAATCTGTGCAAGCCCAAAGTGGAATTTCTCCAGGACACTGGGGTCAAGTAGAGAAGGGACAGACTGCCAAAACCAGTTTTACGTCTCATCTACAAGAGAAAACCTCATTCAGCAGGGTCTCCTCCTACCATACTGTGGCATCAGACTGGAAATTCGGGTCCAGATTGACAATCCCCACTGACATCACTCAAGGCAGCAATCCATCAAATGGGTCGAATGGCCTTCCTGTGTGTTACGTTTTTGTTGTTTTTAAGTTCTAATGTGTTTTTTTTTTCTTCGGGGTTTCCAATTCTAATTTTCTAGCTGCATTTTTCATATCTGTAATTATTCTATTTTGTGTCCTTTTTTATTCAGAATCGATAGATAGATAAGACTTTATTGATCCCAAAGGGAAACTGATGTAAGATGTTTATCTGACATTATGATGCCTGAAATTAGAAACCTGGGTCTTATTAACAATCTCAGAGTTTCTGTAGAGGTGTCTCTAGAGTGCCATTTCTAAATGAACTCAATTAATCGCCTGTTTACAGTACGTCTTCTTGGAGGCTGAGATTAAAGAGTTGGTTCTCTTGTGCTGTTCAGAACTGATCATTGCAAATTGCTGGTGCTTCTGTGAATGAACTCAAGATGCTACAGTATTTATACAGTATAGCTTAGATGCCTTGGTGTTAAACTAAATGTGAACATATACTGTAGCATCTGTCCTGGCATCACTACTGAATGTCCTGATACTTTTCTGTTTCAAAGAATTGCTACGTAGTTACGTATATTCAAAAAACTTTACGACATATTACCTTGGTTCCCGTGGCCTCCTAAAACTATGCTTCAATGGAGGGGCAGCAGCACGTTCCGGCGCCTCAAAATCTGTTAACCTTTGCAAATCACACCTTATCCCTTATAATGGTCCATGTTTCAATACTTAAATATCAGAATACTTCACACATGTACGATGATATGTCCCAGAATAACAATCCGAAAAATGTTTGGCCCTGTTGGGTGAAACCCTGGCACGGCTGCAACTCCGTGTGGATTCAGCAGATGTCACTTGAGTCATCGTTACCGCTACCGTTTCCTACTCTTTCCACTGTGCTGTCCCACGCAAAGGCGGGTATAATTTTTCCTGCTGGGTTTTTGCGGAAGCCGATTCTAAGTTGCATTTCGCTGCGAGCTGGGCTGCAGAGGGTCTCTGAGCGGGAACCTCATGCTTGCGAGAAATACTGTGGCTGCCTTTGCGGGGAAATCGTTTGCCGGCGACGTGTCCGCGATTCTGCTGGTGAGTAGGGATTTACTGTAGGAAGTGAGCTTTTCGTGAGGGTTTTTACTTTAAAAAACCGCTGGAGTTTTTTTCCGTGTACTGCTCGTGAATGCTTTGACAACTACAGACGAACTTCGTAACATGTTCATGGTGCAAGCTTTGTTACACAATGATTGCTCCGTGACAGTGAGCTTCAGAAAGGGTTTAAGCTGACATTTTACAATGCTTTTTTTTAAACGAAAACGTTTCAATATACGTAACGACACTACTTTTATAGGTTTTATTGGCAGATACAGTATATTGTTGTGATCCTCGGCGTGGTTTGTCGGTTTAGTATGTCGGGAATTAACTGGGCTTTTATGTGGTACTTTCATTTTAGTAGTTATGTTTTAAGTCTCAGGTGTAAAACCATCAGAGCGATTTTGAAACTAAGTAAATGTCCAATTCTGTTTGGAACTACGTACTTGTTAAATAACACTGGGCACCTCGGTTAGACACCGTTCACAAACTGAAAATTCATAATTGGACTATAGTTTGTTGTTAGGGATTATTCACACAAGTGATCGTTTTTTCCTTATAAAGCTCTTCAGTAGATCTAAGTAATAGCTGTCGCCACAGAGGAATGAAAGTTTAAGCAAACTGATTCCAGGCCAATGGCACAGACCAAGAAAGACTGCGTGCACACCAGGATTACGAAACAACTGGTGGGCAATGGATTTTAATTGCCAAAAATCGCTGCTTTCTGTTTTCCCTTTTGATATTAAAGGGGTTTCCAGTATGTCCGCAACTAAGTCCTGACTTGTTTAGAAGAAAACACAGACTTTTTATAGCCTCATTTGTTTTCTGCTGCTTTACAAGGCGTTAAAAACAAAACGGAACAGCAGTCTTGAGTCTCGGATGAATTGATACATTGATAATCGCTTTTTGAAATGTTTTAAAACTTCGAAAACGGTATCCTGGAGAAAGGATTTTTTTTAGATACAATAAAGTCCTGAAGTGTTTTTATTAATCAGTGTACGTTCTAAACGAAGTTACGTTTTCATGTTTCTGATTGGCTCAGATGAGAAACATAATTAAATATGGATTGATAAGCACACAGCTAGATGTTGACTTCGGAAATTACCGATCATGTAATCTGGGAATCCTGCCCATCATTTGTGCTTATTTAACATATCCTTTGCACATGACGGTACTTTTAACAGCGCTTGTCAGATCAGATGTGCTTTCCTGCTAGTGCCTTTTAGTTTCCCGTAAAAGCAAAAGATAAAACTGATGGACTGAAGCTGGTGGTTTCTTTTCCAAGAGTAGCTCTCGGCATAATGTGCAATTCTAATGACATCAGAGGGAATATACTGTACCACTGTTATCATTAAGCAATGAACAACACGGTTATTTCTTGTGCACAAAACACATCTAAAGAACTTATGGTTTTCTAGTGGTGCTGGCTACAGTACGTATCATATCATGTGTGACTCTTAACAACTCAACCGAAACCTTTATGTAATTTTAAGATGATGGTGAATTGTTTACTGCGTGTGAACATTTAATGGTAAACCCATGACACGGAAGAATAATTCTGTTTTTAATTACATTGTCATTGCTTCTGGCGAGCTAGCAGTTGGTCCTTTAACGTTTCTCATTCTTTATCAAAAGGAAGTTTTCTACTTTACTGTCCAGGATATTATTTATGATAGATATTGAGGATATTCTGATATTTTTACTTATTGTCCAGTCGCTCAGTGTGTGATTTACAGTGTATTATTACATTATCACATAAGAACATTTTGTGGGGCTGTCTTTGAAAGTCATTACTAGTCAGTAAAAATAAAAATGTTTTGAAATAGGAGTGTTTTAATCGTCAGCTGGTCTAGGTCAGGAAACAGGTGTCTGTGTTTCCAGAGACCTCAGGAAGCGATGTTTCTGGAAATATTTTTCCCTGCTGAATTTTATGGACAGTAAGTTTCTTAGAAGTATGAATTGCTGCTTTTGAAAGGGCAAGTGCATTACAGCAGGATGTGTCATGCAGGCGCAATTCCAAGACAGAAGAAAAAAAAAACTTTATTTTGATGAATGTGTACCCCCACAATTTCAGCTGGATAGGGAGAAACGTTAATAGAGCAGTGCCTATCCAGACAAAAGCAGAAATATACTCCTCAGCCTCAGTCTTCTAAATCAGATCAAACAAGGGGCTGATTCATTCAAAGTTCCCACCTGTGGGAGATATCAGCTGCCCAGTTATCATTTTCACCTGTTACCATTCACAGCACTTTTTTTTTACTCTATGGGACAGCATGGTTAATAAACAGCATGACTGAGCTGATTTCTGAATCTGCTCCTATTTACTTGTTTCTTGCCTCTTGGACAGCCTCTCTTGATAGCTGGAGAGCAGGCAGAAAGCTTGGTAAAAGCTTGGGGAAAAGGACACTTTCCTCCAATGTGTGTGAGTAAGGTACCACTGTAAAGCGCTTTGAGTGGAGTGTCAAGAAAAGCGCTATATAAGTGTAAGCAATTATTATTATTATTTTTATTATTATTACCACCACTGTGGAGAGTTACTGCAGCACAAGCTGGAAGAGTGACTCAGCTCAGCTCACTTGTGCTCCTTAGGTCACTGGGGTTGTTGTGGCATCATATACCCAAGCCTCCCAAGTCCAAGTCATTTGGGATTGAAGTTATTAGTGAACTGTACTTCTCAAGCCTAACTTCCTTGGATTCGAATTCCACCCTTTGTGCTATATACCTAACCATTTTGTTTTTGCTTTTTAATTGCTTTTCCACATCTGTCTGCATGAGGATATAGAATAATCAGCTTAAATGCCCAGATTTCTTTTGTGTGTGTAAAGTTCTGCAGCTCAGAAGAACCTTGTGTGACCTGGATAATGTAGTTTCTCATTTCAGTGGGGACCACTTTGTGCTCCCCAAAATGTTGAATTTTATTTCCCACCTGACAGCCCATCATTGGTATTGGCTAAGTATATTTGTAGCTCCCCGGGTGCTGTTCCTGTGTTTGACCTTCCCCCTGCAAGGTCTAGTATCATCTGCAGATTTGATTAGTTTGCTGACCACACAAGAATGAATGTTAACAAACATATCCTGTCTGTTACAGATTGTAAAACATGGCCATTGTGGGCTACTTTGAAATTAGCTGTGTGATCCTTGCTATAGCATGTGCAAGAGATAATCAGAAATTGCATCACACAATAAACTACTGTTAATCTCCTTAACAGACCTTAGTGGTTTGTGGACATAAGATTTAAAAACACAAAAGAATCCATTCTCATTTAAAAAGTTTATGTGTTGTTATCGCTGTGCTTTATAAATCCTAAATTAGAAATGTTATATAAACACACTAAAACTATAATCTACTGATCATTTTATGAACAGACGGAATGCTTTGTAAAAGGTTTTAAGCCAGACTTTGGTCATCACTCAGCATGTTGCTAATGTTTAGGATATTCAGTGCAAATGATTGCTAGTGTACAACAAATCCTGTATGATCCTACCCTGTGGTTACGATATCATCTGTAGTATTAGAGACCAATCCCAATATTGTAATATAGGGCACATTCAAAATAATCCTCAGTAATGTTTTAATTTCCTGTCTTCTTATTGGAATCTATAGTTTCGGTGACAGTTTTGACAAAATCACAGTTTTGTATGCTGTGTAGGTACCTTTTCTTGCTGTTTATGAAGTGTTATGAAGAGAAACATTGTTACTGGTCACTGTTTTCCATTCTGAAGCAGAAACATGTGAAGAGAAAAAGCATCTGGTAATGTTCCTGTCCTGTACAAATTCTTGCATTAGGTAAAGGTGGACTGAAAGGCATTATAAGAAAATTATCATTTTTAATTAGTAACCACAAACAGTCCAGTGCCAAAGATGTTTTTATTAAACAGATGTTTTTATATATATATACAAAGGCCTATATCTTTCTTTCTGTATTTCTGGCTTTCAAAAGATGTTCCCCTTTTGACTTCATGCTTGCATGTCAGGAGTTTTGTGTTGATGAGGTGTCGGGAAGTGTTAATGGGTTTCTTAGTTACTCAGCTGTTCAGTTTGGGAACTTTACTGCTACTGACATGAAATCTTTAATTAGTGCATTAAAAGCAGGATTGGCAAAGAACAATTGATTGCTGTCTGCTAGATTTGTCAGTGAGGTTTCATGGTAGGGAAGCAGATAGCACTGCTGCTTCACAGATCTTCGGTTCCAGGTTTGATTCCAGACTGTGGTGCCTTTTGTGTAGAATTAGGTATTCCTTTCCTGTCTAAAGAGGTTTCCTCCAGGTGCTCCAGTTATCCTCCTACATTCCAAAGACATGCTTTCTAGGTTAAACGAAATTTCCCTTTATGTTTCGTCTATGCATGTGTGCACTGTAAAAAACTGCTGTGCCATCCAGGGTGCAGTCTTGCATTGTGGGACAGATGTGTACTGTATGTGAATATGTACATGCTTGTGTTTGTGAATCTCTGTGTTCACAGGAGCTCATTGTTTTCTTTAAGTGTGTTTTCCAGGAGGAGATATCAATGTTTTTTTCTCTGTGTTTGAACAGACTTAACTACAGAGGGGCTCATAAGCGACATCTTACTCTGTCCAACTGGGAGGATTATAATTCCCCCTTTATTGTGCAGAAGCTTGGTGTGTAAGACATACAGTATAAAGAGATGGTGTTGCAGGATATCAATTTGGACTGTTATACAATTTCTTAAGATAGAGGTTCATATTCTGAAGATTCAGTAGCTCTTCTGTTCAGCCTTTGCCTAAAATTGTCAAGTTTGAAAATAATAGCAGTAACATGTAGATGCTCTCTTTGTCAAGTGATCCAAACACTACGTCTTTCTTTATCAAAGCTGTGTTTTATGCTTGTGGCATTAGTTTGTGGAATTAGAATGAAATCTTCTGCAATTTCTTATTTTATTTGGTCTGCAGAGAATGTTCTAGTTTTAGGAAACGAAAAAGTAAGAGTTGTGTTGGCCCAGTTTTTCCTGTGTGTTGTCCGGAACATTGGAACATTGGAAC